AAAAAAAAAGAAAAACTTTAAAATTCATGCAATTGATAATACTAATTAAAATTATTTGCAATTATTTTAGGCTACCACTTTGATTATAATTTAGGCTTTTTGGAAGAATTAACTATGCAAAAATTTTGTCTTTAGCCAATAGATGAGCAAATATTACAAATATTTCACCATTCATAAGAATTGGCAAGTGAACTTGCCGAATTTCTTGGAATGATTCAGCCAGCAAACTTGCCTATTAGTATTGATCCATTCATAATCTTAATTGATGCTAATAATGAAGATATTTCAATGTATACTAATAATATAAATAATGAAAATGAAATATCTGAAGAATCTGAAATTAATTTATCGACAGCTATTGATAAAGCATCTACTGAAGTACTTAGAAATAATGAGAACTTAGATGAAGATGAATCTGAAATCGAAGGAATTTTTAATGATGGATGCTCTCAAATTCGATTACTTAATAAAAAAACAGATACTATATCAGTTTTGAATTATGGTGATAGTGGTAAGTTTATTATATTAAATAACGATGACATTTTATTTATTTTCAAAATATTTATTAATATTATTTCTTTAATTAATAGTGAATAATGAATTCAAGTATATTGTAAATGACAAGTTAAATTTGGAATCTCTTATCAATCAAAGAAGGCTGCATGATACATATTGTTCAAAACCTCTTGAAAGGAAATTCAAATCTGTAGGATCAAGTTCATCTCATTCAAATAATAAACTTTCTATTCAACCAAATAAAGCAAGTCACTTTGTGATCTACTTTACAAAAAATGAAAATCCAGAACAGCGGTTTATTACACAGCATGAAAAAAGATGGAAGGATAATAGAAAAAATCTGACTCTTACACTTGCACGATTGCATGCAGATGAATTAGAAAAATCAAAACAAAAAAGTATCAAAGAAGAAAAAAGCTCATATAAGCATGATTCAAAGTATGTTTTTTTCCATCTTTCTATGCATAAAAAGAGTAAAATCAATATTAACTTTATGCTATTTTAGTTCTAAATATTGAAGATGCTAACATAACACCCGAATTTCCATTAAAGAAGAAACATTACGTATTTATAAGATTTGGCGATAAAATGTGTGTGGGACGAGTGATTTCAATCTATTTTGATGCATATGGCAAGCATTGTTATACAGATGAAGCAATTGAAAATATTAATGATATTTCTTATATTTTATTACATGTGTACATTCCTATTCATTTTGATATTTTCAGTGATTTAGTTAAGGAAGAATGTAATATTTTGACGCATCATATACCATCTAACTTATTCTATCATATTTCAGAAACAAAAGTTTTAATAGATGGTAACATATTAAAGCTGTTAGGGGATGAAAAAAGATATTATAATGAATATTTTGGTCGGGATGATATTATTGAAAAAATGATGAGATCTTAAATATACACGATAATAGTAGTTAAAAAAAACTTTTTAAATTTAAGATAATACGATAAATAAAAAATAAAGTGAACAATGGAGATATAATATTAGAAATGATCAGTGAATTATAGTATTACTAATACTTGATTTCCGTGCACATTATATAGTCAATTTAAGATAAAATACTAATATAAATACTATAGGTCATATGATTAGTTTGCTTGTTTTTTGGCGAATTTTGATATCATGTGTTGAGTTTGCTTATTTATATTAGTAAAAACCCTTGCGTAGAGCTATTATAAAATTTTCAAAATTTTCTATAACCTATATATATATAACGCGGGGTCCTGATTTATCTATTAATAAGAAATATAAATCTGTTCTAATAGTTCTGATAAATAAAAAATGCTTGATTATATCATAAATATTTTATTTTATATATTATATCTTCAAATGAAAAATAAAATTAAGTGGTCATTACTCTAGATTATTATTCTTATTTTACTTCTTTAAATAAGATCGCAAAATTATCATCTAATAATAATTTTGAATTGTATATATCCAAAGTTGCACTATTTTCTTGAAATCATAACTTCCCTAAGATTAAATCTGATTCAGGCCAATTTGGTCTAAAAACTATGAATTCATTGGAAATAGTTTTATACTTCTTACTATTATTAAAGCTAATATACAGATTAATCTTTCTTAATATGAAATATGATGCATCTGAAGTTGCAATGCTATTGCTTTTACTGTGATATGTAATTTTTAATTTACCAATATGTTTTTGACTAATGCAATTTACATCAGTGTATATATCAATTAATATCTTAATAGGGATATTTTCTTCAACTACATAATTCACAAATACTATTTTATTATAGCATATATAATATTTAAATATAAAATTAAACCTCTATTTAATGCTTGGTAAGATAATTAAGTGATTATACAAAACGCCTGATTTATTTCTTTAAACTACTATTTACTTAATCTTTCTTGGTCATACCTTCCTTCGTTATTTATAAAGGATATCTAAAAATGGTTTCCATAATTATTTTCAAATTTCAATTAAGTTGCAACTTAATTGTACCATAAGAAAATTTAATTGCGTCACAAGTTGCAACTCAATTGTACCATTTTTTTTACTTGTAGTGACCATCTTTAGGGACATCCTTTTTTTTTCTTACCTGATACTAATAAAACTATTCAATTATCTTATCTGAATCAAAATTCTTAGAAGACTTTGATAAAGCCTTATTCTTTTTACTAATCAGCAAAGAAACTATTTCTTATATTAAGTTGACCACAATCTCTTTATATACAAATTTATTAAGATCTTCTAATTTAGTCTCTAAGGACTTTACATTTTTTTCTAATCTTTTTTACCCTTCTTTCTAAAGTGTTATGCTAGAAATGATAATTTTCCAATTGTTTTTTTAATATCTTATTTTCACCAAAAAGTGCAGTATACACTTTAGTATTTAGCTCATATAGTTTAAATATCTAGGTAAGACCCTGAAAACTTATATATGAACTCTCAGGTAAAACTCAGAAAATTTACTAAATGTTTTACCCAAAGTTTTTCTTATTAATTTTGCCCTTATATAATATAAAATTCAAAATTTTTTATAATATATTTTATCCTTTTTATATATGTGACATGTAATATTTAGATTTATTTATAAATTTTTAAAATTTAAAATTTATTTACGTTATTATTATTTTGACTACTACAAAAAATTATAATAAGTTCCTTTTGAGTTTTAGAATTATTTAAAAAATTATAAATTTGTAAAGCTTCTTTAGTTAAAGTTAGCATAAAATTATTTTAAAAAGTAATTATATCAGGTTTTCTAAAATAATATACAACTTCTTTAGAAGTAATATGCGTAAATAATTTTCCACCTGCATGATAATTATTTGTAAAAATAGATCTGTTATAAATATCAATCAATAAAGATATTGATATATATGATATCGCATCAATATTTATAATATTTTATGAAATATATACATGTTTTTCACCAATATTTTCATATATAGCCAATACCTTTCCAATATATAATTTTTGATTGGAAAAAATAATCAAAAATCCTTCTTTTTTTAAAGGATTATTTTGAGAAACATTAGACAGCTGATATCTAAATATAAAAAAAGTTAATTAAAAAAACAATTTTTTAAAAAATTACATATTTTATTATTATTTACCTGTTAATACAATTTGATTTGTTGAAATGTTCTCCATCTATTTTCTTCCTAACTATCTGTTAGTTCTATTACAAATTGTCTGTTTATTTAAGTCATTGCTATTTAATTGAGTAATTAAATGATTTGCTACATTTCAATTAATTATATTATTAGAACTAATATTTAAATTGATTTCAGATTGTTGTCTAATTTCATGAATTTTATCTGAATGTGAATATGCTTCATGTGATTTTCTAATACTAAGAACTTGATAAATATCGATTGAATTATTTTTTTTAAAAATAGTTTCTTCCAGTTCTTTTTTAGATAGATTAATAAAAATCAGTTGATTATTCTCTAATATATGCTGAATTTCAGTTGTTTTAATAAAATTCGAATATGAATTACTTGTTATATTACTTTTATTTTCATTTTCACTTTCCTCATCAACATTTTCATCATCACTTTCCTCATCACTTTCCTCTTTATTTTATTCATTATCAAATATTTTCAAACTTTCATCTAATTTTAATAATCTTATAACTTCAGATACTGCATCATTAAGTTTAATATCTATTACGGATAATTCTAAATTTTCATATTTTTCATATTTATTTTCATCTTCATTATTTACATGTTCTAAATCTAATGTAATATCAAACAAACTTGTAGATTTTTTATTTTTTGTTTAATTTTAAGTAAATGCATAAATGAAATTGCATTGTTATATCCTATTCTTATCATATTACCAATATCATTATCACTCAGCTACTGTCTTAATAATTCAATTTCATTTTTAAATAAAATTTTATTGTCAATATCATAAATATAAACTAATAATAATAATAATAAATTAATTAATATATAATATAAATATAAGTATAAAAATAATATAAAGCCAAATACCTTAAGCAGATGTTTTATCTTAATAATTGATTAAATTTTCAAGCCTTAATATTTTATTTCTATAAATAACTTTATTTATTATTTTATAAAATTTATAATAAGTAAAATCTGATATAATCTG